TCTGTATCTGGGAAAAAGTGGTCATAGGTTACAGCTATTTTCTGGACTAGAAAATAGCTGAAAGCCAGATTCTTTGCATGGCATAACTGCAAAGCATAGTTTGTGAAATTAAATGATCATTACACGTCTAGAAACACTTGTAAACGCTACAAGCTGCGCATTTAGGATGAGCTTATAACTAAACCATCTGTCAGTTCTCTTCTGAAAATCTTAATTAGTTTAAGACTATGAGCAGAAAATGGCTTTTAAAATTACATATGCATTGCTTCATGATTAAGGTCCCTTTTAACGAACCTTTTAAAGACTTAATCAAAACTGCTAACGTTGGTAACGACAAACGACAATTTCCAAGCTGAATGAATTCCACTCTGTTTAATTCATTATACTCTGTTAAGCCTCCTATATTTAAAAGATAGCACCATGTGATGTAGTGTGAATGCCTCATTAAAGGAATGGTACTAGATTTAAAACCAGGTCCTATGCTATATATTATGGCTCACATGATGTTGGCCTTGTGCACGGCTGTAACTTTGCTCCGGCCCTTTTTGGTGGCGTAGTCAAAGGCAAACTTGGCAATGCGGCGTGACTTCTCTCTTGTGATGATCTTCAGACACTCCACCACTCCGGTAACACTCTGTAGCACACAAAACAGTTCGTTATCACAATGTTTCTTATATTTGATTGGGCAGAAAATAGGAAGAAAAATAAGTAAGCCACTAGTTTTACCACACAAACACACTTCAGACTAGTGGTAATAATCTGACCCAGTTTTTCCTAATCTTACTACACTGTTGACTTCAGGCATGCCACACAGCCTTCTATCTTCACAATGGTTTATAAATAGAAAAATCTTCCAAATATTGAAGTTATGACTGCACTTATACAGTACAACATACATCATTCATTATATAGGCTACAAACAGTTACAGTTTGGGTCAAAAAACAGGAGATGGTGCTGCTGATGGTTTAGTTACATTCAGCATTAGAGCCGTACTATTAAAAACAAACTGAAAAGGGTTAAGAGGGGGTATATTTTTGCCTAGTGAACGACACAGGTCAAGTAATAAATATTCTGCACAAAACTCATGAATGAAAAGTGATGGGCTTAATTTAACACTAACACACCTCCTCTCAGCTTCACAAATTCTATAAATATACATAATTTCAATGAATCTTCAGTGTGTGTGTGTGTGTGTGTGTGTGTGTGTGTGTGTGTGAGAGAGAGAGAGAGAGAGAGAGAGAGAGACACCTCATGCTCCAGCGAGCTGTATTCGCCCTCAGTCTGCTCGCGGATGATCACCAGGTCCAGGTTGTTGTGGCGTGTGCTGTAACCCGGCAGGCTGTTCACATGAACCACGTTAGCAAACAGGTCCAGCTTCCTCCTGTCATTAGAAACAAAAAGACACACACACTCAGACAACGCTTCTAATTTCCCCTCATAGAACCCCTCGTTCCACATGGCCAACCTTTGTCTATTGATCAGCTGCTGCTTAAACTGTTTCAGTGCATTAGTGCTGATCAGCACAGGAGAGCACATAATCACTTTCTAATTATCCTTACAGCTAAAATTAATTGTGTTAGAAAAAAAGTGTTAGATTTGACACCAATTAATTTTTTTTGTTTGGTCAAAATTTTCATTTCAGCTGAAAGTTATCAGTGGTGAAATTTTGGTGCAACACTAATAAATATAGTTGATATTAAATTATATTAAATTATATTTGTCTAATGTTAGCTAAGATGAAAATACACCGATAGATTTTACTTCACATGAATGAACTCCTAAACATACTCCATTTACTCTGCCAAGCGAGGGGGCTGCATCAGTTTTAGCAGGAAAACCAAGTCGAGATGAGAGCACCCACCAAAAGATTACTAATATGAGTTGGAGAAGGGGGCGGGGCTTCTGGGGGTGTCAGTTAATATCAGAGAGTTTAAAACACCTAAGCAACTGTCAGTCTTTTTTTTTTTTTTTTTTTTGCATGTTTCTTCCGTAGTGGTAGTCCAATTTTAAAGTGCAGAACTCCTACAGAAAATGCGTGAAGGTTGGCAGTTCTGCAAAATGACCCGTTTCCAGTTTATAATAAAAACGAACAATAATGTTTTTTGAAAAGCTGATTTCTATTACAGTGATCATGTTCGAGTGAAATTAAAGTGTTGCATAAAATGGACGGTTTTTGTAAATCGGAAACAAAACGGTTGGTCTCGTTTCTTTTATCTTTTACTTACACTCTAAAATCAGACAAGTGAACACCCTCATTTTTTAAAATTTCTTCTTACTTCTTACTATTAATCTGTAGGAGAGCTACAGTGTTTCTGCAATGTGTGGTGTGATGTGTATGAAGTAGGACCTTAGTCTCATCTCATAGGAAGCCAGCTCTCCTTTGTACTCCATCGGTGTGTGGATCTTGCCTACGTCCAAAAAGAACACACACGCAAACATTATTCGTTATTATCCCTTATTAGTGAAACTGTTGAACAGCTATGTTAGTGATTAAACATAGCGGTTGTGCAAATGTATAAAGATAATAATTCTTTTATTGAATAGAAGAATAGGAATGGTAGCATTCCTACAATGTGTATTTCAGTGCAGGTTCCAGATTTTTCTCTTTTTTAAATCAATCTAGAAATGATAAAGATGAAGTTGGCAATATTTCTTGACTTGTAATGATCATTCCAAAAGGACCTTAGAATTAGGAAAACTGTGATATATTACTATTCAATTCATTTGCCGTAACTGTCAGTGTTCTAATGATGTATAACATTTAGCTTTACCTTTGATGGCCACTTTGTTGTTCTTCATGGAGGTCAGCACCTGGTCCAGCTTCTCCTCACTTGCCATGTTCTGCACCTCACTCAGGTGGAATTCCTCAAACTCCACAGGTACATCAGCACCCTGCAGGGGAGAGGGATGAAAACTGTGCTTTAACATACCCCTAATGTAGAAGGGCAATAACTTAAGTCTCTAAAACAAGTCTCTAGCAACAGTTTATGTCAGGGATACTAAAGTGAGCCAAACTGGGAAATTTAATGTGTTAAATATAAACCACGCCAGAACAGATAATCAAAGAAAACACCACATCATTCTTAGCTTTCAGTAGTCAGATCACTGTAGAAATACAAATTTCTCTGCCTCTGTACTGGAATATCATAATGTTAACATTATAACTTTTTCAGATTTCCTTGTCACAACTTATCCGGTCGCAGGCCTCCTCACCTAGACTAGACAAGTGTTTTGGAAACTGGAACTGTTGGTATAAAAAAAAGCATCTGCTGCTTTAATACAACGTCAGCGCTCATGCGGAAACGCTTTATATTTACTTTGAACACTTCTTTGACAGCCATCATGAGTTCAGGTCCGACTCCATCTCCCGGCACCATCGTGACCTTGAAGGTGCTGTCGGCCCGCGCTGGTGGAGTGTCTGAAGCATTCTGATTGGTTGAAAGGCTCAGCGAGCGCACACACAGCGGCTTTATGGCAGCACCAGTCAGGCCCTGTGGATGGATCAAACAGGAAACAGTCAGCAGAGGTCAAAAGGTCATCTAACCATCTATGCTCTCAGGTCAAACCACTTATGTATGGTGGACCAGTCTTAGTTCTGTTAAAAAAAAAAAAAGTTTTTTTTATTGAGCTGTTTAATGCAGAGTTGTTGTATTCTGTATTTGTTTGATAGGTAGCTTGCATGTTATATAATTCATTATTACCAACCATTATTAATGAACTTTTTCAGCAATCATGCATTATGCATTACTATATAATTTGCAGTTATTAATTATTTAAACTTCACTGTGGCAGACACTTTAGCGTTATTATACATCTGGTCAAATCCCAAATGGCTTCCAGATGCCTGCTCTCTATTTAGGATATAAAAATAATGGCTTCTACATATTATGTAATGCATTTAAGCACAACAGAGGGCCATTTGGGATTCAGCAGCTTACACCCTATATAAACACACTACACAGAGTATGAAATAATCCTTCTACACCCTACGTAGAGCACTATAAGATCAAAAAGCCGCAATATGGGACTGAACACCATAATGCCAATATTAGTGTAACAAAGCAATGACTTCTACATCCTAGAGAAAACCTTCACGGATGCCATTTTTGATTTTCCCCACTCTAGGCACATGTGTGTGTGTTATTCCTCAACTGCCCAGTTTCAGTAAGCCTGTGCAAACTGATGCCTCAGATGCTCATTCCTGGTTGACAGGAGTGGAACCCAGTGTGGGGTCTGAGATGCTTTTCTGCTCACCATGGTTGTAAAGAGTGGTTATGTGAGTTACTGTGGCCTTCCTGTCAACTCAAACCAGTCTGGTCATTCTCCACTTACCCCTTTATTCAACAAGGCGTTTCTGTCTGCAGAGTTTTGGATCTCCTGGATTTTCTTCCCCCACACTATTCTGTGTCTAGAGACTGTTGTATGCGTGAACATCCCAGGAGATCAACAGCTTCTGAAATACTTAAACCAGCCTATCTGGCTTAACAACCTTGCCACTGAGATCACATTTTTACATGAATGATCAGTTCTTATTAAATGGTGTTCCTATCAATCTATCTAACTGCTATCCTGCTAAACATCCTTCCATTTTCTGTATCGCTTATCCTACACAGGGTACACCGATAGATTTTGCTTCATATTAATGAACTCCTGAACATACTTTATTTACTCTGACAAGCGAGGGGGCTGCATCAGGGCATCGTTTTAGCAGGAAAACCAAGTCGAGATGAGAGCACCCAACAAAAGATTGCTAATACAAGGTGGAGAAGGGGGCAGGGCTTCTGAGGGTGTCAGTTAGTATCAGAGAGTTTAAAGCACCTAAGCAACCAGGTCACTCAGGGGAGCCTAGGGCTTATCCCAGGGAACTTGGGGCACAAGGTAGGGGAGACCCTGGATGGGGTGCCAACCCGTCACAGGGCACAATCTCACACACATTCACACACTACGGAAAATTTGGCAATGCCAATCAGCTTATTGGTCTTTGGGCTGGGATACAGGGCGGAAGCGGGGTTCGAACCCCAGCCACAGGCGTGTGAGGCAGACGTTCTGACCACTAAGCCACCGTGTCCCCTCCCCCCTCCGCCAGGTAATGTGATTATATGCCTCAAAGAGAGCCATTTAGGCTCAAGCACCTCGCTCCCAATAATAGTGCCAAAAAAATAATCCTGTTACACTGCACTTGTATATAATATGTCCAGTAACGGGTCAACTCGGATTCTCTGTACACTAAAGATATTTAACTGTCAGTCTTATCATCTATTTCAGCTTACTACTAAATGTAACCACAAATGATTTGATAACGGAATAATTCTTCAGTGCACTGAAACGCTGATAGTAAGGGAAGAGACGCCCTTATCAAGCTCTAACATTAGCTACTAAAGCCGTTCAACTGCAGGCAAGGAGAAGTTATTTACAATAAACAGATGATGTCTAAATTGACAAACTATATAGGATATTAAAATCAATATTCTCTTAACCAGTCCGTGCAAAGCAGCAGCTCTATGTTTAACATAACAGCTGAAGAAATTTAGCCCAAGTTAGCGTCCAAACTCTCATTAAGCACGTTGTTAGCTACTGAAGACCTGTTAGTTTCACTTAAAATACTGCACTGAAATCCCATGGACATCTTTTATATTTAATGAAGTTCAACCTCCTGATTTAAGGAACCGTTAGGTATTTATTATCAGATTATTATTACTCACCTTGGCCAATGATACAAGGTTTCTCCTCAAGGCGGCGGCCATCATGAAGTAAAAACGGGTGGATGCCGTGTGGCAATCATGCAGAAGCGTGTACCCGTTTTCGAGAATAGCCACGCCCACAAACAGGAGCACTGACCAATGCTAGCACACAGGGGTGACGTTTGTTTCTTCTTCTTCGGTTCCTCAAACAAAAGCATGTAGGGGTTTCTGCCGCCCCCACATGGAATAAAAAGCCATTAATGTAAACTAAATCCTGCCCTGTGAAATGTTCCTCTGTGAGTAGGTCAGAGTAGCATTTTAGAAGAAGAATTCTTAATTTATTATTCACATACTGTACATTACAGCATTCTTTTCTTCGTATATCCCAGCTTCAGCCATGATACAGTCCCCCTGGAGCAGACAGAGTTAAGGGCCTTGCTCAAGGGCCCAACAGCAGCAGATTTGAACATGGATTCACTCTTTAAGATGTAGGTCCAGTCTCTCAGCCTCCTGCAACATGGCAACAAGCTCTGCAGAGTTGTCCCCAAGCTGGGTTTGTAAGAGTTTGGCACATTCCTGGTGCGACTATGAAGGTGATATGTTCTTACCTGCTCTCAACAGCACTTTCAGTGTATTAATTCAAGCCTGCTTGGTCATATCTGCTGGCAGAACTTTTAGCTTTCCTCACTGTAGTAAATACCCTTCAGGGCACTGCTTATATCACTGTCATAAATGCAGGGCTTCTTGGCATTTTTATTTATCCACACATTTTTTTAGGAACCCTTAGTCTAGCAAATATGGTAAATTTTCCCACTGGTACACTATATGGCCAAAAGTTTGTGGAGATCTGACTATTACACCGATATGAGTTTCTTCCTCAAACTGTTTCCACAAAGCACACAATTGTATAGGATGCCTTTGTATGGAAGAACTCGAGTGGCCTGCATAGAGCCCTGACCTCAACCCCATTGAACACCTTTGGGATGAACTGGAACGCTGACTCCTTGCCCGACATCATTGCCTAACCTCTAATGCACTTGTGGCTGAATGAGCAAATCCCCACAGTCACGCTCCAAAATCTAGTGGAAATCCTTCCCAGAAGAGTGGAGGTTATTATAACAGCAAAAGGCAACTAAATCTGGAATGGGATGTTCAAAAAGCACAAATGGATGTGATTGTCAGGTGTCCACAAACCTTTGGCCAGATAGTGTATATCAGCGGTATGGGATAGACTTGCAACCACAATGTCTTCACAGAATGCCACTCATTCTATCCAGAAAAAAAGACAGAGTCTTTGAATTTGTCTTGTCTTACAGATCAGGACCAGTTTGAGGTGAATGTCTACCCCATGTGGGTGATTTGGGTTGCAATAAGCTGATCTCTCATGAGATCCCCCTTTTTGATATCAGCTCACCACATATATTGGTGTATCCCCCATCAGAATATGTGGACGTGTGTAGATTGTATATCTAGAAGACTCTATGGCAGAGCGAAAAGCAAAACACCGGTGAAAAAAACATGAAATACAATACACAAACAGAATTACTTTGCATTAGTGAAGTGCAGAAAACCTACCACACTGAAAAGTAAAGCCTGCATTGTACCACTCTTACATCACATGATATCTTTAATGAAAAACAATCAACAGGGGATTGCTTTTTAAAAATTAAATGCTGAATTTGTGTCAGATGTAAATATGATCCAAGTTTATAAGCGATTCAGTTCGCTGCATTGCATTTAACTATGTGATTCTGTTAAAGATAGAAAAGCAATCACAGCAGTGAATAAAACATGAAACACAATATATGAATGTTATTTCTTTTTATTAGTGTCATGTAAAAAACGTTGCACACTGAAAAGTATTTCACTTTCATCAGTGTGTGGAAATCACAGCCCTAGGCCATACTTGTGGGCTAGGCTGTAATAAGAGAGTAGCTTTCACGTAAGACATTTTTTTTTTTTGGCTGACTAGCATACTTGGTGTCCTCTGAGGGCCCTTAAGAATTACGTGGAAGTGACTGCCCCCTGGTGGTTCACTGACCAGCAGTTTGTGCGCTATAAAAGGCTCCACTGTCGAATGGTAGGTTAGCACATTAGGTAAACGAAGTGATACTTGAACACAGGTCAACAGATGCCTTCTTTCATTAGATATCATTGATCATGTACTATGCCTACCTCTTGGGCAACTCTACGAGGAGTTTCACTTTCAGACAATTGCAAAGTGGCAGCATGGAGCTCAGTGTCTGCCTTTTAAGAATCATATCCACCAAAAAGAAATGGCCCATTGTCTGGGCACCTCTCCCCATTTTATGACTCCCCTCCATAAGCAATAGAGTCAACACAACTTTAGACAAGCCATTCCAATCTGGTTTTATCCATCTGTATGTGAAAATACATCATTTTTTCACATACATTTTATTACTTTTGAATCAGTTCCTGTTTAGAAATACACTCACCTATATTTTTCCCCCAATTTGAACCACAAGTGCTCAGTTGAGTCATGAGGGGAAGTGCTGAAAATGAAATGAAAGCCCATGTCCATGCCATATAGTGGCACTTCCATCAAGAAACTACTGAGGGAAATGTGTGTTTTCTATGGTCTTTGTTCATATATTTTTAGCGACATCTGTGCTCTCCACAAAATCACAATAACCAATAGGCAATTTGTTGCTAGAAAAATATAAACAGAAAATGAATTGAATAGCAATATATTACAATTCTCCTAATTCTGAGGTATGTTTGGAATGATCATTACAGGTCTAGAAAAACTTTCAAACATTGTAAACTACATCTTTAACATGTTTAGATTTAATTATAAAGACATAAAAATGGAAACTGCACTGAAATATACATCGTTAAACAATTACACAACTGATCAGCATTAACTATAAAAAAAATGACAGTTAACTGAGTGGGCTTGTTCACATTTAATTTAACTGATGCATGAAAATAACAAAAATGTTCACCACAGTAATCAAAGTACTAATATTAAACATCTGTCAACGGGCATCCAGCAAATCTTCAGGTCATGACAGCATTGCTTCTATGGAACCTCATTGGACAACTAACAGACAAACAAAGAAATGCACTAATTGAGCATTTGTACAGACTAGGTTGTCTGAATGCTAGTTAAACATATTGCTAGAAGAATCCATCATATCCCCAGTGTAAACTAGATTTAGTAATGTAATGTAAGTACATGCAGCACTAAGCACCACATGCAATGTATGATGTCTGCACAGACTGAAAAAAAAAACCCTAAGAAATGAAAAAATAATAATACTCACGATCTCAAAGTCATTGACATAAGTATATTTCTGTTCTCTGTAATAGTGTCTTTTTTGCATGCAAGTCAGAGTAATCCAGTCACACACCACATTCACCTGGAAAACCACAATGGTCAAACTTCCTGGATGAACTTCATAACTTGTATTGGGGTGCTATAACAGGCTAAGACAACAGTACATACAGAACATACAGAATGATACAGAAATTGCTCTTTTTGAAAGGATTTCTACTCACTATTGGTTAGTAACCAAGAGGCCAAGTGTAACTCTGAAGGAGCTGAAGAGATCCTCAGCTCAAATGGGAGAAGCTGTTCACAGAACAACCATACCCTGGACACGCCACAAAGCTGGGCTTTATGGAAAAGTGGTGAGCCATATGAAGTCCCATTTCCAAGAGACTCAACAAACATGTGGAAAAGGGTTCTCTGGTCTGATGAGACCAGAAATTTACATTTTTGGCCTTGGCAGGAATCCTCTGTTTGGCAGAAATCATCCCCACAGCATGGTGGTGGTAGCATCAGAGCGTTAGTCTTGGCCCCTTGGTTAATTCCCTGTCTAATGCCCTCTCTAGCCGATCACAAACTTTTGGTGGAATACTTATGCAAAGCACTGTAATTGCATAGAGAGTAAGAATTTGTCCTGGGTCAGCCTTCTTACTATTTCAGATTAAAAACTATTACACCATATGTTTCAAGATGAAGTGGGCCAAAATAGTGACTTTCCGCAATTTCCTTCTTCTTTTAAGATTAGTTCTGTAATTTCCAAATCCATACAACAGCACTTACCAGGCCAAGGAGTGCCAAGCCAGCCCCGATGTTGAGCAAAGTTGGGATAATGTTGAATTTCCCTGCCTGCATAAGCAAAAGAACTTCAATCAATTTTAAATCATTAAACCAGTGATTGTTTCAGTAAACCTGAGAGAAAGACTCACATTTCCAAAGACCATAACATCAAAGCGGATGCCGTAGCCTTTGATTAACGTCCTGATCTCCTGGCCCTCTACATTTTTGTAATATTTTGCAAACCTGTAATTTTCACATGGAAAAGCAAAAGAGAAACTTAACTGGAAATACAGTTATTGTGTAATAAATCTCAGAGAGA